CCCACTTATTAAGGGGGTAGTTATTCCTTTCAGGATTTGTTATGGGAGGGGTTTAACTTTTTGAGATCTAGGTATATTTGATATGAGGCCCTTGTATGTTGTATGGCTACAGATCTTCTCCCAATCTATGGGGTTTCTATTGATCTTGCTAGGTATGTACTTTATGGAGCCAACCCAGATGACCCTCAGTAGATCAAGAAAATGTGGTATATATACACAATGGAATTCTATGGTTCTATCAGAAAGAATAACATCATCCCATATGTAAGGAGATGTAACAACTTGGAAAAGTCATATTGAGTGAAGTGAGCCAGACACAAAAGAACATAGGCCCTATGGTTTCTCTCATTTGTAATAATTAGTATATGTCTAGAATAGTCCTAGCAGAAGATCACAATAGCTCAATAGCTATGTATGTATGACCATGTAAAATGATGCTTTTTGAAATGAACTCTGAGATATGGAAAGAGGATTTTTTTGTCTTTATTTTTATTTACTTATTTTATGTCAGTCATTGGGCCTGAACTCTGGGCCTGGGTGCTGTCCCTCAGCTCTTCAGCTTAAGGCTAGCACTCTACCACTAGAGCCGCAGTGCCACTTCTGGCTTTTTCTGCTATGTAGTGCTGAGGAACCCAGGGCCTCATGCATGCAAGGCAAGCACTCTACCACTGAGCCACCTTCCCAGCTCTGTCTTTTTTTAATGGACTGTGTGAAGTTATTTATTTTTTCCTTCATTTTGTTTTTCCTTTTGGATTATTCCCAATTGTCACTGTTTTTGATTTTGGTACCCTGATTTTGGTATATACATTTATCTGATTTGGGAAAGGGAAGGGGTATAACAAAATGGTGAGACAAAGGACAAAGGCTGAACCAATGTAACAGTGGTACTCACAAGATGCTGTTAGAAATGAACTCTACAACTTGGAGGGAAGGGGAGTTAGGGGAGGGAAAGTGGGAGAAAATGAGGTGGGGAGGAGTAACACTGTTCGACAAGAAATATATTCATTACCCAACTTATATAACTCTAACTCCTCTGCACATTACCCTTACAATACAATTTTTAAAAAAGAAATGAGACTCTTTAGTGGAGAAACTATTTTTGTGCAAGAAATGATCATTATTGTAGATATAGCTAAACTACCTAATGTTTTTCTGAAGAAGAAAGAATATACAAGCATGCGGCCTTCTTCCTGTGTATTTTAAGAAAAAAAGTAATGGTAGGAATACAATTCTTGTAGTAATCCATTATAAGTGTGTAACATTAGAAAGATTTAAATAAATCTTTCAACTAAAATATTGAAAAATAAAAGTGTAGGTCAACAATTTTGGAATTCTTGCCTACCTTAGATTTATGTTACTTATTATTCTAGTTTCTGGCTTTACTGTTAGCTTGGAATGAAATAGAAAACAAGAAAGCAGAAAAGATATGGAAGGAAAAAAAGTGAGAACATGAAGCCTTTAGTTCCATCTTTGTTGTTAAGCATTAAAAAAAAATCAATGAATGTTTGAGTTGCATTGTTTATGTTCACTGTTGATATGGTTTGGAGATGATGTCTGAAGAAGTTGTTCACCTGGCTGAAAATCAGAATGTATTCATATGTTACAAACTTTGCTTTTCTGAAAATGTTCTGATTTGAAGATACCATGTACCTGGAGCAGCTAACTTCACATGGAGCCTTTTAGCATGGGCATAATAGAATGGCAAATATTTGGTAGGGTTTTATTGTGAACTTCCTCAATTAACACTTTAAAAAGATGAGGAACAAGGAAATATTCTCCTCTAATCATAAAAATCATATTTCTAGTGCATTGCTACTAGAAATAACTTAGTGATAAAAATGCCTTTAATGGGGCCAGTACAATATCTAGGTTCTTCCATATTGTTGAGAGTTCTCGATGGCAATTAACAATTCATTTCCTTTCTCTAAGATTTAATCTCAACACTCAGACTACTATTTTTTTCATGTTCTGGTAAAACTCTCTCGAATGCAGTAAAAATAAGGTGGAGAATGTGAAGGCATATTATCAATAATCACAGAGCTAGGATTCCCCGAGACTACTATTTCATCACTGGAGATCATTACTGGTCTGTATTGTTCACCAACTCCACAAAAATAAAAACGTCAAATAAAAAGTTTCCTTAGGAATACTTTTCCCATTTCCCTCTCTTCTCCTTAGTCAAAGCCAATGTTGATTCTTTCCATTTTAATAATGCATTTTTTTAAAAAAAACAACAACTGTAATCCAAGTTGCTCTTCAAATATAACTCAATCTTTCTAATTTGCAGTAAAATATACTTACTGACCCCCTCCAAGTTCTCCCCTTTGACCTTGAAGGCACTTTGATGAACCTTCTCTTCAATGACATCAGTCACATTGTATCTAAAAGGAGCATTCTTTGTTGTTCTCCTCTCACCAGAAGTTGTAAAGTTCATTTCCAATATAGTGTCTTGTGGGTATCATTGTTACAATGGGTCATCCTGTATCCTTGTTTCAGTGTTTTGTTATTCCCCTTCTCTTCCCCAAATTAGACAAATGTATATACAAGATGCAGGGTACCAAAATCACATACAGTGACAACAGAGGGAAGAACATACAAAGGAAACAAAAAAAAACACATAGTACATTAAAAACAACAGCAACAAAGAAAGACTTCTTATGTCCATATTTTGGGGTTCATTTCACTTAGCATCATCTTATATGGTAAAAATAATATAGGGGGTAACAATGCTTGACAAGAAATGTACTCATTACCTTACTCATGTAACTGTAACCCCTCTGTACAACATCTTTATAATAAAACAAAATTTAAAAAACAGTAACATTCTTAGATATCATGGTACTTAAAGTCTTCTTGGTCACTTGATCACTTTATTCTTCTTGGTATGTTTTCTTTTCTCTTTAGATGCTTTACATCCTTGCTTTCTAAATAGTGAATTTTTCCTGGTTCCCTAACTAATACCATAGCTTCTCAACCTTGTTTCATTCTCAAGCTCTTAACTGGAGGTAGAACTTCGATTTGTAGATATTTATTTACTTTTTTATTTATTTGTTTAATACTAGGCTTTGAATCCAGGGACTCATGTTTGCTAGGCAAGTACTCTACCCCTGAGCCATATCCTCAGCCTTCTTTTACTTTAATTGAAATTTTGTCTGAGCCAACCTGGGCTATGATTCTCCTACTTGTTCATCTTGCATAGCTGGGATGACCGGCATGGATCTCCATACCTGGCCTGTTTTTACAAGATAAGGGTCTCACTATGCTTTGCCCATATTATGCTCAAACCTCATTTCCACTTCTCAATTTGATAGCTTTTCTTGATGTTGTTCAATTATGTACATATACAGATGTGTATCTCTCTCTATGTATGTAATTTGAATTGGAAGTTATAAATATATACATTTTTATCTATATATACACATTTGTATATAGTTGTTTAATGGGCATTGTAAGTTTGGGAAGTCTAAAACTTGGCTACTTTTTTTATTTTACCCTTCCTCTCAACATAGGAAAGCTAGATGTTTTTTGTTTTTGTTTTTCTTGGCCTCTTCTATTTTACTAGATGTGATTTTTCTATCCTTATTGTTTCTCATACCAAAAATGTTGAAGTTATATTGGTAACTTTCTTTTCTCACATCTCAGAGCCAAATTGAAAGCATATACCGTTAATTAAATTCACAGAATTACATTCAGAACCTGACCACATCTCATATCATATGCAGTTACTAGACTACCAAAAATTACCATCATCTTTCTTCCAAATTATTCCACTTGGCTGCTCATTGTCTGACTGTTTCTAACTGTCATCATTTAGATCTTCAGCACAGGAAATAAAAGGTTTCTTATGCTTAAGCATTTTATTCATCTGCTCCACCTTTCAATGACTTCCTATCTCAATCAGAATAAAAGCTTTATTTTGGAATACTTAACCTTTAGATGATATAATACACTGATATAATTTGGATCTCTGGAAAAGGATAGATACTCTAAAAACCTAAAATATTTTTAAGTAGGAAAAACATAGCTCTAAAACTGAATTACATATTGATGAAAAATCAGGTGAATTTTTCTACCAATTTTTTAGTCATCTCTTTAATTAGATCTTAAAGGTTACTCTTGCTTTTTCAGAGCAATTTTCAAATAATTAGAAAATTAGAAAAACAATCTTTGGAAATCCCTAACCTTGCTATTTACTTGAACTTTTATTATTTAATTTCTCATTATCCATGTTTTAAAAATATCCTAAGATATAATAAAAAGATTTACTGATATTACTAAAAGTTTAAATATTTTTAATTAAGGTACTAGGATGTTTAATAATCATAAAACTAATTGAATGACGCTTGCACTTGACATAATCACTGCCCTGAAATTACAGGTTTTTCCTTCTATAGAAAGAATTATAGGGGCTGGGGTTTAGCCCAGCGGAAGGGCGCCCGCCTGGCTTGCACAAGGCCCTGGGTTCGGTCCTCAACCCTGGGGGGGAAAAAAAGAAAAAAGAAATAAAGAATTATAGTAAATAGACCAATTGGTCTTAATTTGACCACAAACAGTTTAGTTAACTGACAGAAATGTGGCAGTCCTAGGGCTCAAACACAGGATCTGGGAGCTGATCCCGAGCGCTTTTTGGCTAAGCCTAGTATTACTTGAGTCAAAGCTCCACTTTCAGCTTTTTGGTAGCTAAATAGACATAAGATCTCATGGAATTTCAGACCCAGTCTAGCTTTGAATTGTATCCTCAGATTTCAGCCTCCTGAATATTTAGGATTATAGGCATGAACCACCAGCATCAGGCTCTATAATTTCTCTTTTTACTTAAGCATTATACAGCATAACATTTTCCATTTTGATGCAAAATATTATAGCCAGTGGGTATTTAAATTTTAGAAATTGATATATTCACTGTGTCAAAAAAACAACTTATGAAAATACAAACCAAATTTTCTTAGTTTCTTTTGGAATGACTGTGAAATGTTTGTTTTGTTTCTCATTACTTTTAGCAAGCTCCATTGCCAGGATTGGGTCAGATCCTCTCAAACTTGTACACGATGCTGTGGAGGAAACCACAGACTGGGTCTATGGCTTCTTTTCTTTGTTGTCTGACATCATCTCATCTGAGGCTGATGATGAAGATGATGATGCGGATGAGGACATTGATAAAGGTACTGAGAATATAGAGTTATATCTAACTGTTGGGACCAATATTAGATATGTGTGACAGTAACTTGTTAAGGTTTACCCAAATGAACACTTAGGTCAGGTTGAATCAATATATTTCTGAATACTAAAGTATTTCAGTAAGCTGAAAAATAGACTAAATTGATCTCTATTTGATTTTCATGTTATAATTTATCTGCCACTATGGAAAAATGTCAAAATTTGATGCTACTATTATGGTAGCATTATAATACAAAGAATCTTATTATATACACCTACAAGCCCATAATAGACTCGTATATTTAATATACTTCTCTGAGAAAATATTGTGGCTATTTTTCAGGTTTATCTCCAGGAAGATTGAAATAAAAACATTAAAACTAAGAAATAGATATGCTGTATAACCTTACTTTTGTTCAGCGTCAACAGCAGGAAACTATCTTATTAAATGCACAATTTAAACAGTCAATTTATTGAACCTAATCGAAGCATAGAGTGGAAGGACCCATTCTAAATGTCACATAATTATTCAGCTCTCTCATATATATTAATGAATAAAAGAAAACAGCAAAATAAGCTCTTATATATAAGCTACCACTGAATGGGTATTGAAAGGACAAAGAACAGTGATTCTGTTGGCTAAATGACATATTTTCAGGTTAAGATTATTCACCAGAAATTATGTATTCAGACTTGGCTAACAGAAAAGCTCATATAGTGAGAGGCCTCTTCCATGATTTTGTCTGAATATATATTTGTTTTAGCACCATGACAAGTCACGATGAACAAGGAATTGAAATTATTATGATCTATAATGTATAATTTGGACCACAGCCACAATTTTATTGAACTCATAGAAATAAAGCTATCTCAAATAAAAGTACATAATCAAAGTTACCAGTTAGGAATTTGGAAAGCAAAATAAAAGAACTATGATTTTCAGACATAAGAGGGTTTTTAAGAGTAAACGGAAAAAAATGCACAACTAGCCATATTTCCCCATGTTAAGAAGCTTTCCTAATTTAATATTTTTGTCTTCATTTAGGAGAAATAGAAGAGCCTCCCTTGAAAAAAAAAGGTTGGTTATTTTCATCTTTTAAAATATTTCTTTTCATAGTAATAATTGATTTTCAGTGTGACTCAATATATTTTACTTGTTTTGCTCCTTTAATTTTATTTTTAGTACAGAAGTTTTATTTAATGACAGCATCAAGTTTTATACTGAGGAGCAATACTCAAGTTTCTTCTGATGAAGCAGATCCTACAATTTTTAAGTCGATTATTTTTTTATGTTGGTCATGGGGCTTGAACTCTGGGTCTGGGCATTGTCCCTCAGCTCTTTAGCTCAAGTCTAGTGCTCTACCACTTGAGCCACAACACCACTTCCAATATTCTGGTGGTTACTTTCCTGTCTAGCTAGCTTTAAACTGTGATCCTCAGATCTCAGCCTCCTGTGTAGCTAGGATTACAGGCGTGAGCTGCCAGCACCTGGCTCATTATATAATATTTTGTAAAATATTTCTCATGCCAATTCTACATTTAAAATTTTGCTTTTAACATTATTAGGGAAGATATGTTATTTGTATTCTTCTATCTCATCATATGCTATTTTATGTGTTTTATATTTAAAATTTTGGTTTAAGATTTTTTTTTTGGGGTCCCGTCGTAGGCCTGAACTCTGGGCCTGGGCACTGTCCCTCAGCTCTTCAGCTCAAGGCTAGCACTCTACCACTTGAGTCACAGTGCCACTTCCAGCTTTTTTCTTTTTGATTATGTGGTGCTGAGGAATCGAACCCAGGGCCTCAGGCATGCAAGGCAAGCTCTCTACCACTGAGCCAACTTCCCAGCCCTTAAGATGTATTTTTATAATCTAAAATACTAATCTCTTAGAACATTTTCCTTCAAATGATTCTAAAACTCATTTCGATTTGTATATATTCAATGTTTAGTCATTTTATATTAGCGAATGTACCAGGTGGGAATATATTTTACTTAATTCTCTTGTGTATACCTAAGGCATTTAATTTAAATGAACAAAATTTTTAGATTTATTTTCCAAGTTATTACTGTTCTTAGCCAAATAAAAGATCTACCAACTTGTTGTTTATGGGTCAAGCTAGAATTTCTAACTTGATGTGGAATAATGGTCCAGTCAGCTAAACTCAGGGTCACAGAATTGATTATTAAACAGGTTATTAATATGGATGAAATTTTTAATGCTAGTCTGTAACTGTATTGTTATATATAAGTATAGCTTTAGGGCATTACATTCACCTAGTGTTTTTATAATCGTTATGAATATTTATTTTTCAACTTGTCAACTTTAAAATATGAAGTACTGCTAAAAATCTCTCCATAAAAAGTGTCCAAAGCACAGAACCATTAGAAAATATCATATTTGTATCATGTAATTATCTAAAAGCTTTAAAATAAGAACACCAAATAACTTTTTAAATGCCATTTCCTGGATCCACAGTTATATGCTGTGGATAGGTGGGTATTTTGTTTATCTAGAATGGGTCCTATCAAGAATAGTCTCATACCAACATACACATCACAGATATATTAAGCTCATTCTGTAAGGAGTATACAAATGTATACATTTTTTAAGAAATAATATGCTTTTCCAAAATCTACTTTCCTGAAAACATATCCAAATTTATAATAGTTTTACTGACACTTTCAAGATAAAGACAAATTTTATACATTTTCAAATTTCTAGAATACCAACCAAAAATGATGCTAAAACAATGGGCCTCTGACCCTGTCTCATTTGTGCAGCTACTAAGCAAAAATTTATCATTCACTGTATCACTATAAGGTCATTATAAAAATAACACATGACTATAATCCTAGCTACTCAGGAGACTAAGATCTGAAGTTCATTGTTCAAAGAAAGTCCATGAGAGTCTTACCTCCAAATTAACTACTAAAAAGCCAGAAGTGGTATTGTGGCCAAGTGATAAAACACTTCTTTGAGCAAAAAGCTCAAGGACAGCTCCTAGGCCCTGAGTTCAAGCCCCAAGGCTGGCACAGACACCAAATAGCTTCAATAAGTTTGCAATATATTTGTTATTAGGTGTTCATCCACCAAATATTAATGGAATGTAGCAATGTTGTTTTTGAATGACATTTACAGTAATCTTTAGATTATTGTAACCTTTAGATAATAAAATAATTTTAAACATTAAATTATTAGCAAATACTCAAAAGTCATGCCCAATGACACAGATGCTACATTCACTCTGAGACATACAAAGACAGGGGTCAGAGAGAGAGAGAATTCAATAGCTAAAAGAAAAATTAACTATATATGTCTACTCAGTGCAGGCATCTTTGGAGTTTTCTGTATTTTTCAAAAGTAAAATACTGGTTCATAACAAAACCACAATTTTTGTATGTCTAATATTAATATTCAATGTTTCACTAACTTCCCTGACTTGTCAGATTAGGAAACATTCATAGAAAGTATAATTCTCTAGCAGGTATATAGCTTTAAATTGTTTTTGTACTAACACTTCTAAATACAGCATAATGGATATTCTTATCTCCTTTTTACAGTTTATTCTTACCTAAATTTCATCTACAGTCAATCTGTATATTATAAGCATAATCATTATACTATTTGTACTCTCAAATATGTACTTATAGAAGATAAGGATAATCTCTTAACCAGGAATTTTATTTTATAATGCTTTTTCCTGAGATCTAGCTTTAAAGTGAAGAAATAATAAATGTAGAATAGTAGTATTGTAGTGATTCAGATCTAGGTACACCCAGAATTATGTTGTTTTTGCTGTGCTAGGGATACCACCCAGGTTTTATACGTGTTAGGAAATCACTATTATCCAGCTGCACTCATAAGGAAAATACTTACTTTTTTTTTGTTTCTTTGTTTTTTGGAAAATTGGCCATCCGTTTTAGTTTCCCTGGGATCTTACAAATTGTAGATCTATCTTTTGCCTTTGAGGACAGCACCAGAAACTCCTTTATACTCTGTGTCCAACTGCTTGTCTGTCAGAATGAGGAACTGACCTGATGCTTGAGCATCATGGTCCCTAACAAAGCCTGGTGTCCTGTATCCTGATGCATGCCTGTGACTGAGAAGCAGACTGCTCTTCTCAGAACAAGCAAATCACATTATCTGTACAGTCATGTTTTTGAATTGCCCCAAACTCTGCAAGTTGAAAGAGAAAAAAAATGCTCACTAAATTTACACTTAGTTCTCTCATTGTGTACTTTCCTTACTTTATTGAACTCCACAATAGTTGCCTGCGGTCAGAGTAAATGAGGAAGAGCTAGGCAATCTCAGCATCATAAATATTCAAAGCTTTCGCATTAGACCATTCAGAGGGCTGTATTACGTCTTTGGCCATAAGATGGATGAGCATGTATGCGTGCCAGAACTTTCACTGGCAACTTCTGTGGTTTGCACACCAGGCTCAATATTGTCTGGAAAATAATAGTGCCTGAATAAAGAAGGAAGAATGGGTAAGTGACTAAAGTTATTGTAATTCATTGCCACTCAATATTGGTTACTAGGTAGGCCCTAGTCACATTGTTCATCTTTGGATCTCTCTTTAGACTTACTTAGGTAAGTCTGTATCAATTCTCAATAATTGCTCTCAGACAACATGAAGAACTTACTGCTCTAACTGCTCCCTGTCTCTCACTGCAGTCATTGGATCTAACTCTGAATCTAACTCTGTCATTGCAGACAGAGTATAGAGGGAGCTGGCATCAAGGAAAGTTCGATATAGGTATACAAACATATCTACGTATAACAGTGTACATGATTTCTTAGCCTCTGCCTGGGTGTTCCCTGTTTCATTCTCTTCTCTTCTCTCTTGGCAAACATAGTCACCAGAATCTTGAAGCCAAAGTTACTTTACCTTAGTGACCCAGGAAAAGAACCAGCTCTTTTCTAAGAAATATTTCCATTGAAACAACTCAGTTGAATTTCATTGACTTATACTGAGTAACAAAGCAAGGTTGGCTAAAAAAGACACAATGTGCAAATTTGTCAGAGCCTGCTAATGGGTCTATCCTGGGAACTAAAGAATGAGGTAACCTCAACCAAAGTATGGGCACTAAGTTGGGAAAGGGAGTAGTTCCTGAATCTCAAACATTACACCGATATTATAATTATGGATTGTAACAAGAACATGAGATAGACATACCCCTATTGTTTTAAATTCCACATTCGTTTACCTCCCCTCTTAGATAAGACATTGAAATCTCAGGGGCAGACCAATTACCAAGGAAGAGCAAGAGAGGAGATATGGATTGGGGTTGGGGGAGAGCTAATGTTTATGGAATTTCTTTGATGAATGATGAAAATATTCTACAGTTGGTTGTGGTAATGGGTTCATAACTCTGAGAACAAGTAGAAAACATTAGATTACACATTTTAAATAAATTATTTGAATGGTAAGTGAGGTATATCTAAATAAAACTATGTGATGTAACTCATCCCCTAAAATCAGAAATTTTAAAGTTTCAACAATATGTTTCTAAACAATAACCAAGGTAAGAGCCATTGCCATTCTAATGGATAATTTGCAAAAGAAGGGGACTTGATACATTTTGAGGCCAGTTGAAGATAAGTGAATTCCTCTTCCTTTTGTTTACATATCGTGACTATGGTATATAAACATACTGTAAGAAAAAAAGTAGAAAAGGGCAAAGTAGGGCATGGGTGTGGTGACATGTGTATAATTCCAGAGATCAGACAATGAAAGTTGGCAAAAAGTTAGCAAGACTTGATTCAACAAGTAAACATGGCATATTTGGGCACATTTGTAGTTCCAGATCTACTGGATGTTAGGTAGGGGAATATGGTTTTAGACTGGCCCTAAGCAAAACAACAACAACAACAAAAGAAATCCTGTAAAAATAATTAAAAGAAAAAAATGGCCTGAATCCTGGTTCAAGTGATACAGACACCCCTAACAAGGCAAGACCCTAAGTTCAAACAGCAATATAAAAAAATCCAGAAAGAAAAGAATGAATGATAAAGTACAATGTCACATTGACCTGGATTGTTGAAGTATAGATAATTAACATTCCTCAATCAAA